TCTGGTGGTGGAAACCTAGTGAGCGAATGACAGACAGGACGTGGCTGAGGGGCCTCTCCCCCCCAAGTCAATTGGAAGGGCTTAAGCAGCAGCGTTGGCATGATGGGAAGGCATGTTCAGGCACCTGTCAAGGGTCCACCAAGCAGCAGGGGCCCACCGAGAAAAGCCCTCTGGAGTTGATCCTCCTCTTCATCTGCTTGTTCATCTGTCTCTTGCTCTGAACCATTCAATCAGTGGAGGTGACAAAAGGGAGCACAGTCAATGCCTCACTGGCTCTCTGCCCAAAGCCACCATTGCAGTAAGAGCAACACCAATCCAGTGATACTAAATTTTTCAGGGTGTTTGTGCAATCCCCTTTTTCTTGGGTGAGAAAGGTTATGGCTGGACTTTCCAGACAGAGTTGTCTTCCACATTTAACCCTCCTGTTTTTTCACCTGCTTTCCCATCCTTTCTCTTTTCAGCCCAAAACCACAATCTATTGAGAAGTACATATGAAATAGTTGCACAAGACCTTTTTGACAAGTAACACCAAAAGCATCTGGAAGCATCCAAGACCTGATGTCACTTTTGAAGTAGAATCTGGGGCAAAATTCTGCGCAAGGTAAATTAAAGTACCACTGAAGTTTGCAAAAAAGTTATTTAGCTCAAACAGTATGTGAGCTGCTGAGCAGAGAACTGAAGCAACACACTTCTTTCCAAAGGCTTAGTGGTGTCACCGTATTTCCATGCCTCTATGACTCACCTCACTATGAAGCATGTCTTACAGCATTCAGAGTTTAACTGGAGCAAAATATCCCCGGAAATTCTTCCTAATCCACTCACCAATTATCTCAACCCCTTCCTTATTTCACTTAAGAGGTCGTAGGCCAGCAACAAGTTAAGCATCTGGTGCTGGCACACAACCAAAGTAACACTGGGAAAAATAGTTTGGCCAAGAACTACAGGCATGGGAAAACTAGCATCTCCCAGGAGCATCTCTGTGATGCTGCTGTGCAGCGGAGTGGGACTGAGATCTCCTCTCCTATTTCCCCACAGCTGGCTGCTGCTTCCTTCTGCATCCTGCTGAAAACCAGGCAACAGCTGCATCCACGTAGGTCACGTGGGGGACCAGGGTGCCAATTCTGGGTGGCTCAGAAATATCGTCAGCTACCTTTTTGATTTTGAAGGAAGCAGCTTTCCTTAGTTCCAAGACAAACCAAGTGGAAGTTCTCCTATGTAACTACAGACAGGGACTCAATGGGTGTCCCAGGGGAAAGAATCGTATTGCCTCTTCCGCAGTTTTCACTTGCCTCTGGAATCACAGAAACACATGGAAAGAAATATGGTGCATGGAATGCAGTCCTTTAGAGCCACTTTTATTGCTCCAACTGAACAGATTAAATCAGAAAGTCAGAGCTGTTCTATAAGATAATCATCAAAAAGATACAGGAAAATGCTTTATTAAACAGCAAAAGGAGACTTTGCCCAAAGGTAAATGGAGAGCCTTACTATTCTATCAGCTTTATCAGTCCCTATTCACCACCCTAAAGATGTAACACTGCCCATCTCCTAACTGTGGATCAAGAACCTTGTCTCGTTCTCTTGGCCTTCTGTCGGGATTTAAACCATGGTGCAACACTATGACTGCTACGAAAAGCAACTAGCCTTGAGGAGAGCAGGCTTTCAACTGGGCTTCATACAAGGGTTCAAAGACAATTTGCAAATTTCAGTCAAGGCTGAAATAATGCAACCCAGAGCTCCTTAAGAGAATCAGTGAGATAACAATTTGATTCCCTTTTGCTTGTGGGGCTTCTTCCACTCCTCCCCACAAAACAGAAATATGGAGGAATTACGGAAAAAAACCTCTCCCAATCTGTTCCCAACAGATTGTATGGAATGCTTTTTATAACTAGGTTTTATGCAGTGCAAAAGTGTAGTATGGCAATTTTTATGAAGAAAATCCATAGCAATAGAGTACAATACAACAGTACAGAAAAAAATAGTAACATGAAGTTTAACTAAGTATCTAAGTACAGTACAAGTCATTAATATTGTGACAATATGAGAATCTTTCTATTTAAACAATACACTTTTCAGATTTTAATTTTTACCTAGTTCTGATGGCAAATAAAGATTGTACATATATTCAGCAATTTATGGTAATAAGAAGAACACAAATCTTTTCTGAATTTACCAAATACAAAAAAGTCAGACTAATCCTTCAGAAGCAATGGAGTGTGAGCCATATCCTTTGCTAAATGATATTATGTAGCATCCAAATACAGTGCAAAATTTAATAGTTGATGGAATTTAGAGACCAAGTCACAGAATGCTAAACAGAGGCATTCCTCATGGAATAAAACTATCTATTTTTTCAACGTTCTCTCACATTGTCGCTTAATTCCATTGGGTAACTCTGAGTGTTGTCCACTTTTACCTGACTCCAAAATTTAGCAATTCTAACTACACAGTGCATTGAGAATTTCATACTTATTTCAGTTACTCTTGCTTACTTTGAGTAATATTCAAATAACCAAACAATATCACCAAAATCTCATATGGTGGTAGAACCCAACTTTCAATACAATAAACACAATGATTTTTTTCAAAACTGGATGTTGTTATGTTGTAGACTTTGATTGCTACCTTAACATTCAAAATTTCAGTATAAAATAGATAGCAAAAGATCAATAAAAGGAAGGGGACAACAACATAAGCTTTGGGAGATAACATTTCTCATTTGCTTTTCCACTGAAACATTAAGCTTTGAAAAGGATGTTGTAGTCACATTTTCCAGCAGTAGTTATTAGAAATATGCACATGCTTAGAACTAGGTCAACTCTACACTTATTTTACCAGCAGAGAGAAACTGTTTAGACATCAGTGTAATGCTCTTAGCCTCAGCAAACCAGGGCAGAGCAGTTCTGAAATTAAACAAAATAAGAAAAATAGCTACTCAGTAGAAATATTTCCTGTGCCAAGATTAAGAAAAGGAAAAAAGAGGAAGGTTCTGTAAAATGTAATTTTAGCTAGGGTTTAATGCTACTTTGGAAATTCATGCCCCTGGAGAAGTCCAGAAGTTTCCATTCAATTTTGGTTCACTTGCATTCTTCTATCATCTTTACTGAGAAGGTTAGCCTACAGCAATATAGAAAGTTGCAGAGACCAAAATTAAGAATGAATGTTTCCTGACAGATCAACAGCTTATATGGCTTTCCTCTTTTATTTGGAGATGAGGAAAAATGGGAATGCCCTTGCATCTTAAAACAGGAATGCAAAAGGGACCATCCTCAACAACACTGCCTTAGAGGGGAAATCCAAATATTGTGGTGATAGATTGTACAAATTAATGGTTGCAATGCTGCATCTTACTCAGGATGGATAAACATTTACATACCCACATACATATAAGAATCAGTATAACACATACACTCCAGTCCAGCACATTAAAAACCCTTACCCTGCCTCCCAAAGATCAGCCCAAATAAAAGGACCAGCAATGTGGCTGAAGACTTGTAAAAAGTCAGGCTTCAAAATGTCACGGCTTACCAGGAACCTCTGCCTACACATGTCTTGTCTCTCTGAACACAGCCAAGAACCTCTTCTCAGCTGTTCCAAGAGATCAAAACTGCCAGCAAGGGTGGATGCTGTCTCAAGTATATAGAAAAGTTTGGAATCTTGCAACAGAGACAGATGGCCCAACACATTTGAGTAGCCAGGGCAGGTCATTAAGAAACAAAGAAACCAACAAAAATCCCACGAAACCAATTCAACAAAAAATCCATGCATGTCGCATGGTGTCACTATCACATAAAGCAGGTATCCTTGTTCTCCTAGGTAAGCACAGAGTTAAGACTGCAAATATTAAGTGTTACGCTTTGGGTGCCAGTCCAGCAGGAATCTGATGCCCAGGGTCCCTTTGAGAATATCCTGGACTGACAGAAAGACAAACAAGTGGGTCCCAGATCAAATCAGGCCAAAACTTGCCCTGGAAGCAAACATTGCAAAATGGAGGCTGTTCTACTTCAGGCACATGATGAGAGGGCAAGACTCCCTGGAGAAGACAACAACGCTAGGGAAAGTCGAAGGTAGAAGAGGAGGAAAGATGAAGACCAGCTATGAGTTGGATCAGTTCTACACAGAAAACCAAGTCTTGTGTTTGCAAGAGCTCAGCAGGGCTGTTAAGGATAGGACACTTTTGAAGTACTCATTCGTACAGTTAAGGAGGAGATTACTTGACAGCATCTACCTACAACAAATGCAATCACGGTTTTGCTTGCCCCGTCCTTTCCAGCACTGGTCATGAACCTGCCAGATCCTGCCACACACACACAATTTTCTTCTCTTTTGCTGGAGCAAGGATGAGTCATTCCGGGAAGCCCCGAGAGATTTTGCTGCCCAAGCAAAATATAACATGGTGACCCTTAACATTCCATATATGAAAATTAACTGGACCGGAAGCTGAATCTGTTCTCCATTGCTCCACTGCATCTGAGGGCAGCAGGCTAGGTTAGGAGGCACATGGCTTGCCACATGGCAAACAGGTTTCTCCTCCAACCCTTAATTTTTACCTCCCTTACTCTGTCTTAAAATAGGGCTGCCTCTGCTCATGGAATGAGTGAAACGAGAGGAGGCAAAAGCCCTTTGGATTCATCTTTTTTTACACTGCAGAATGTTTAAGAGGCAAGCATAGCCTCCAGCTGTGACCCTCCAATCTGAACAACCACCAAGAGCCAGCCACAACTTTCTTAATCAGCTTGGGAAGATCTCATTTGAAATATGCATTGTGTGTATTATTGACACAGTAAGTTTACGCATTCACAGAAATGACATCCCAATTATGGATACTCAGTCTGGTACATAATGTTCTCTTTTGCAATCAAACATTGTAGAAACAGGTAGTGGAGGAGGAGGAGGGGATACCCAGTTAATGAATAAGGAAACCAAAAGCAATTGAAGACAGATAAGTAAGGAATGTTTAGCATGTAAACTCATGAATCAGAAAGTAACATAAGGCTTACCTTATAGACCTGTCCATAGGTTCCATTGCCGACAAGCTCAACCAATTCAAAGATACCAGCAGGATCCTAAGACAGAGAGAGAGAGAGAGAGAGATCAGTAACATTAAAAATGAATAAAAATATATTTAAAAGTGGCTGCAAAGAAACTTTGTTTAACTAGGGGGTTACGATTTCAGATAGGCAAAGATTCTTTACAAGGGACACATCCCTACTCCTGAGTAGATTTCAATCCATTCACTTTGTTTCATTAATTAAATTTCTACACTGCCCCATACCCAAAACAATATTACAAAACTTAAAACTCTAGGGATACTGCACAGTAACACAATATAAAACTATTAAGATTCAGAGTGGGTAAAAATAATGATTAAAAAAAATAAAACCAGATTTTTATTATGACTGAATGTTTAAATTAGTTTTTTTAAATACAATTCTTTTTGAGGAGAAATCTATCTGAAGTTAGTTTTCTATTTAAGGTACATTATAGTCCAAAGGCTATTTATCATGAACTAAGGCTTAGGTTTTTAATTATGCAACATGAGGCTGTATGTTCATGGAATGTTTACATTATTTGGTAAATTTATATGCCATACTCTTCTAGAGATTTCTGTAAGATTATTGGACAATTTTTCAATCTAGTACATATTATCACAGATGCTTGGTTTTACAGTTCTCAAAACTGTTAATTTGTGCCTGCAAAGATCACATGCCTCTTCTTCACAGCAAAAATGTCATAAAATAAGCATACAGAGATGAGAAAAACATGTTAATACCATTGTTCCTTTGCAAATCTATGCACACAGAATCTACCTCTTACCTCTTAATTTCAACAAATCCAATGAAAAGATTGTTGGGATTGAATAGATCTGCACAAGAAGCTAAGTATGAGGAGGGAGGGACAAACTGGAAAAATGGAAGTGAAACCCTCTGAGCTCCACAAGTCTTTGGATCTTTTTGTGTATGGCCTGAGGTTTATTGTATTATTCTTTCCCTGCAGGAGAAAACCTACATTGGCAGCAGGATGTAAAAGAGACCCAGTTTGGGAATATTTTAATGAAGTTCTTCTACCTACAGGTACCTACAGGTAAGGCATGCATGCATGCAAATTGTGTCGAAACCCATGATGCAAATCTAGTCTATCTTTAAATCAAATCCACCCTGTTAAGATGCAAAATCAATTTTAAGAAGCAACAATGAAAATCCCATGACTCATTAGAAGTCCTTATGCGCTGTCAAGTACAGGGTAGTGTTAACCAGATGTCAAAAAAGCAGCTGCTGTACCTCACAGACTCAGGTAAGAACACCAGCCACTGCTGCCTCTCTCCCTAACCCTTTCCCACCCGAAGGGCTCCTGCAATAGCTCACTGGCCATGGTAAGGGGAAGCTGCGGCACATGCCAGGTGGCTGCTCCACAGACGCTCCCTTGCGACAGCCAATGCCATGTGAGAGAATGGCTAGTGGGACTCTCCGGAGCACCTGCTCAAGGCAGCAGAGAGACAGGAGTGAGCACTCCTGGCAGGGCTTCTCCTGTCCACCACCTGATCCAAGCACATGAACCCGTGTAAGCCCCAGCAAAAGCTGACGATGACGCTGCCAGGCGGACTTCCCTGGAGAGCACATTCCACAACCAGGCAGAAGAAGGTTCCCCAAGAAGGTTCTCTTTCTCGTTAGCATCCTTAGCAGAGGCTATTACTATGATCCTAGTACAAATTTCTTTGCAAAGACAATGCAATTTCAGAACAATGGTTTCAGATGACATTACTAATTATTGTGCTTTTGAATATTTTAAGCGGATGTGTTTTTGCACCTCTGATTTTCAAATGATGGCAAGTGATGTATAAATGGATTAAACCAACAAACCAAACTATTAGAAATAAACATTTTCTAGAACATAGCTCAGGATCTTCTCATAGATCCCTAGATAATTTGCAGTTTAGAGGAAATGGTTTCTGACTCTCAGTAGTCTAACACCAGCTTTTACTAAAAAGCTTTCCCCCTCCTAATTTAGGTTACTAACCAAGAAAAGTGTAGAGAAGATGAGGAGTGAGCTTTTGTGCAAAACGACTTGTAAGCTTGACTTTAGTTACAAATCATAAGTTTCTAGGCTAAGCATCTGCTCAGGGCTCAATTCTTGGTGCACATCTGTCTTCCCAAGACACCGTTTTGCACCTGGTTTCAACTGATGGCTCTCAGAGCTTGGTGAGGCCACAGATTTGACCCTGCAAGCCTGAAGTCCACCCAGACCCCTGCTGTATGCAAGCACGAATGTTTCATGCATACGCCTTGCCAAGGCAAATCCGCATGCCAACCGCTGTCACATCCCTTGCACAGCAAGGGATACCAGAGCTATTTCTCAAAATGTTGCCTTTCACATCACCAGGGGCTACAGAGAGAGTTTCCCAAGAAGGGGTTTGACAGAAACACTCAGCCACAAAGGCACTGAGGGCCTCCCAGCTGAAAAGGTGCCACAAGGCAGGGAAAATGTAGAGCACAGCTGGACCCGCAGCATTCACACAGAAGCAAACAGCTCAAAATGGACAAAGACGTGGGATGTTTCTATAACCTAAAAGGCATTTTGTGCCATTAGAGCGGCAGGTTCCTACTGGCGGAGAAAAGGGAACAAGAAACACAGTGAAAAAGCAGCCGCTATTGATTGTCATGCTGTGACCTATCCAACTGCATGAAACAAAATAGAAGGGGGGGAAAGATAATACGTTTTTAAAGAACAGTGGTGCCAAACAAATGTATTTGTCTTTGATCATCATTAAAATTGAAAGCTGGAGAATAGCTTGCCATATTCAAGACACTGGAGAAATGGTGCTAAAAATGCATGGTCTACTAGGAAAGATACGGGAGCTGTAATAGTGCTTGTTGTTCCTCGGACTCAGGCCACACAGTTCTGGTATAGCAGCAGAATTGTGCACAGAATCTGAAAGGGGAGTGAAAATCTGATGGATTTTCAGTCTCCCCCCCCCCCCGCCAAATTCCAGTTCCTTAGCCCTGTTTTGGCACCCACCCACTATGGTAGTTATTTATTTATTGACTGACTGGCTGACTGACTGACTGGCTGACTGACTGATTGACTGACTTTTGGGTACTTTTATCCTGTCCAATTATGTTGTGCATCTCTGGACGGCTTACAAACAGAACACCCAATAAATACATATAAACCCATAATAATCCATGACTGAGCATAAAACATAGTTATTTATTTATTCATTTATTTATTAAAACATTTCTATGCCGCCCCTTGCCAAAGTTAAAATGTTTAAACATTAAAATTATGGGAAAATAAAAAGGTCTTGACCTGGTGCCGAAAAGCATATAAAGTCGGCGCCAGGCGGACCTCTCTGGGGAGTGCATTCCCTAGTCGGGGTGCCACCCTAGAGAAGACCCTCCTCCAAGTATATTGTCTCCTAACTTCTTTCAACGAGGGTTCCCGGAGGAGAGCCTCTGCTGCAGATCTTAATGGGCAGGAGGGCATGTAGGGAAAAAGACGTTCTTTTAGGTATCCTGGTCCCAAGCCATTTAGGGCTTTATAGGTCAATAGCAGCACCTTAAATTGAGCCTGGTATCTGTTGAGCCAGGTTGTGGACTTCTGTCTCTAACACAGACTGTGATTTGCACATTTTATTTTAAACTGCTAATGACTTTTGCATTAGTAAGAACCCCCAAACCATGTATTGTGCAGAATTGGCCAATCTTTAAGTATCTCCTTTACGCCAGTTCTGACCATGGGCCCAACCAACCTAGTATTTTCAATCACTGGCAACTGATCTCCACAGCTCGTTGTCCCGTTCTTCAGCTGGCCGGGGTCCAGATGCCTTTTTCGCTACAGGTGCTAGAGGCTGAAGCTAGGATTTTCTGCATGCAAACCATGTGCTGTACTGCCATGCTTCTTCAGCTCCTACCTTTGCACACATATTCAGGGAATACAGTGCTAGTCCCTAAAAAGCATTTTGTCTTGTGTTCTTTCTCTCAGCATCTTTCATTCCTGTTTTCCATAACTACAGTGAGTCAAAATGAATCTAGCATCTCATGTCAAATCATTCAATGAGGTTTCTCTCTGCTGCTGGCACGAGCAGTTGCCATTTCAGTAAAGTCATAACAACTGGAACAGAATGCTAATTGTTAACACATACAGAAAGAAAAAGGAAGAAAAAAGGTGGTCTTCATTCAAGCTAACAATAACTTGGTCCTTGCTCCTGCTTTTTCCAATGTAGTTTGCAACAGAAGAACACTGGTCCCTCAGAAACATGAAACTCTCCTCATTCCTGCCCCCAACCATGCATAAAAGGTAGTATTGTTAGCCTGAACATCAGATAAATGTAGCAAGTGGGGGAACATGGAATATAGCACTTGCCTCACCCATCCTTTCATGGCATCATTTACAAGATAGATCGATTCATGTTGTGCTACGTAGAGATTCTGCACCTTGTGGATTGCAGAAGCATCAGCACCAGATTGCTGGCACAGATGAGAACTCCCTCTTCTGCCATGAGCATGACAGTGGAAGGGAAGAGTCCATCCTATTCCAGTTGGCTGTAACAGAGCAGTTAAAGGGTATTTGAGTATGTACTCCATATTCAAGTGGAGTATATGCTCTTGGTAATGGTTGCCAGGGGATACAGCCATTTTTTCCCATCTTGGAGAAACATAGCAGATGAGATTATTACTTTGGGTAATTTTAGCACTTCTCACAGACGTGACACCGGGGCAGAACTGGATCTTAAAATTGGTCCCCAAATCCTGGAATCAGAGTTCCTTTCCCATAACATCTGCTGAAAATGCTGAATGCACCCACTGACCCAAAATGCTTGGAGGCCCCAGGTTCATAGTTGGTTTGATGGCTGCATGCAACACTTTTCTGCCAAGGCACACTACATTTTCTGCTAATGGTGCACCATCTGACAGACATACTACATTAGTGGGGAAAGGAAAATAAGCAAATATAGGTACTAATTCTTTTGCTTCCAACACATAATGGTAACTCAGGAGACATTATAACCAATCCTCCCATGAGCTCAGGGCAAATGTGAAGGTTGCACCAGGCATGACTAGATGCA